GTCAATCATTTTCGGATATTTGATTTTAATTAACATTTACCGAGTGCCTGAAATTTGCCAGGTTGGAAATGTCATTTCATGCTCATAGCAGCCTCACAAAACATGCAAAATGAGTCTCATCTTAGAAATGAATGGAGAGAGGCAGAGGCAGGGGCCTGACACTGTGGCATCCCAGCCATATTCCAGGTATGAAGCTAGGGGCTGGCCTGCCTTAATCCCATCTGAACATCTATGAGACCAAGATTATTATTTTCATTTTAAGATAAGGAAGCTAACTTAGGAGGTGAAACAGTTTTTCCAAGAACATCAAGTAAGTGGAGCAACTGGGATTTCCTTTCCTAGTTCTTGGGCTGCAAGTCAAGTTCATTCTGCTAGGGTCATTTCCTGAAAACTTAATAGAAAATCTTTTGCCTAGCAGAGTCATCCCATGTGCTGCTTGGGGAAGACACAATGGAGCTAAGACAAGGGCAACTGCAGAGGCTCAGGGCATCCTTGTGCTGGCAGACTGGGAGGGTGAGCTCTCTCCAGCTCCTTGGGGGTGGCACAGCCTCTCACCCTCTCTTAGGGTGCCCCAAGAGATGGAATTCAGGGCTGCAGGATGAAGGGATCAAGAGCTCTGGTGTACACAGGCTCCCATGCTCAGTCATCACATGCCTTAGACCCCTCAGCGTCCGCTGGTTGCAGGAAAACAAGCCGGCAGGGATAAAAGGCAGAAGGTTGTGCAGTGCGGGGAAGGGCCTAAGTGTGGAGTCCGAGCTCTCTGGGTTTAAACACAAGCTCTGCTATTTAGGAGCCATGGAACCATTATACTATACCAAGTCACTTTGAGGCAACTTCTCTGCCCATGTGATGTCAGGCAAGCCTCTTTGTGCCTTTGTTTGCTCATCTGTAAAATGCAGATAATAATAGTGCTTACCTGACAAAATTGTGTGGATTAATGAAATAAAGGAATGCATTAACCCAGTGCCTGCGTGTTCTAAGTTCTTAATAAATGTCCCCTATTATTGGCAACCCTTCACTTAGGAGGCACATCTCTAAGATGAGAATGACTAATCTCTTGGTAGAGAGTTTGGGTAGTGGTGGGAGGAATGAAAGGACAAAATGCAAAGAGAGCATGCAGCACAGTAATGGCCAACAGCTGGTATCCAAGGGGTGCCCAACCCTTGGGTTTGTACAGTTTCCCTTTCCCTGCATCTGTGTAAAAGAAACCACCAGATGTTCTCACCTACTGCCAATACCGGAGGTCTTCAAGGCTGATCCTTTGCTCTCTCAATCCTTGAGGGAGTAGCTTAGATTGTGTTTGCTGTTACATACCCCCTCTCTGCCTGTACGCTGGGCTTCCAGGAGAGCTATGAAATAATACAATTATTCCTCTCCCCAGATGGCAATCCCCTCACATTACTTCACTTTACCAATTACACACATCTTTTGAGCAGGTTTTTCCCTGCCCTGATCACAAAGGGTAATGAGGGGTGAGACCTGCTCCGGCTGGAATTCCAACTGCAGAGCCGTACTCCGGTTAGATTTCACGTCACTCAGCAGCTTGCTAGTTCTCAGAGCCCTGCTAGAGATGGTGAGATGCTCCGCCCTGTACCCAAAGGTGGCAACAAGGTGCATAGGTGCCAGATTGAGGAGATCACTTACTCTCTGCTCAAGTCCCTTTCTGGTTGCCAGAAACTGACCTTGACCTTCACATCTCCCTTTACTTTTCATCCCATTTTTCCTGATTCTTTTTGTAGCAGGATCTCGAGAGTCACCTGCTCTCTCTGTCTATATGTCCCCTTCTCTCCTTCTCACCTGGTTCACTCCCATCAGGCTCTAGTTTTTGTCAAGGTCACCAATGAGCTGTGCCTGTGCGTTGTTACACTTGCTGGTTAATCTCAGAAACTGGTGGTTCTCAGGGGCCATTTGTGTGGCTTCTCAGCAGCCTCCTTCTTGAAACGCTTTCTCCCCCTGGCTTCTGTGTCATCAATCACTCTTGCTTTTCTTTCTATTTTATTGGCTTCTCCTTTGAAGTCTCTTCTACATTCATCTCATACCCACAACCTCGAGGACCTCTCTCCTTCCTATTTGCACCCACCCCTCCATGGTTTCATCCTGCAATATGGCTGTAAACACCATCTGGATGCTGCTGACTCCGAAATATACATCCTTAGCCCGACATTGTCTTTTGCATCCCTGACTCACACTTAACCTCTCTGCGTGGATGTCTAATCAACACCTCAATTTTAATATGTCCCACATCACAGTCTTGGGTTTTTTCCTTTCAAATTTACTCTTTCCCCTGTTTTCTGTATCTCAGTTGATGGTAACTTCATTATTTATTTATTTACTTAGGCCAATTATCTTGGAGTTTTCTTTGGTTCTTTGCTTTCTCTCACACCCTACTTTCAATCAATCGATGAAAACTTGTCTCTATTTTCAAAATATATTCCCAATGTTTCATTTCTTGCCATCTTCAAATCTGTAAAGTAGGAGATAGCTTAAGCCGCTCTTTTCTTGTCTGGATGAATTGAAGGGCTCCAACTCGTCTCCCATCCTCCAGTCTTGCCCCTCCCACCCACTTTTCTGCCTGTCCAACGGCAGCCAGTATGATCTTTTAAAAACAGTTAGGTCTTGTCATTCCTCTGCTCAGTTTCCTACAGAGGCTTCCTGTCTCAGTCAGAATAAAATACAACGTCCTTATCGTCATCCATAAGCGCAACATGAACTGGCCTCTTTATTTCTCTCACTTCCTTGTCTGCATCTCTTCCCTGGCTCAGTTGACTTTAGAGCACCCTAGATTGCTGTCTACCAAACACATCAAACACACTCCTGTTCACACCGGCTGCTCTTTCTACTGGAACACTCCACCTCCAAACGTCTGCCTGGTTTGTCCTCACATCTTTCAAGTTTCTGCTCAAATGCTAACTTATCAGAGAAGCTCCCTTGACCTCCCTCTCTACCCTCTACCCTCTACCCTCTAACCTCCCTACTCATTCTTAAAAATTTGTCTGCTGGTGGTGGTGGTTGTTTTTTATAGTCTCATTGTTGTTGGTTTTTGTGATTCTGTCTTGCACTTCTTTAAGCATTTCTTATAAAGTTATTTTCTGTTCTGTGTCTCACAATTCTAGTATCTGAAGGCTTTAGAGGAGGATTAAGTCTGTTGTTTGTTGATTCTGCTCTTATTCATGGTGGTTTTTTTCCTTGTGTATTTTTTTTTTTGAGACAGTCTCACTCTGTTGCCTGGGCTAGAATGCCGTGGTGTCAGCCTAGCTCGCAGCAACCTCAGACCCCTGGGCTCAAGCAATCCTTCTGTCTCAGCCTCTCGAGTAGCTGGGATTACAGGCATGCACCACCATACCTGGCTAAATTTTCTATTTATTTTTAGTTGGTCAATGAATTTCTTTCTATTTTTAGTAGAGACAGGATCTCGCTCTTGCTCAGCCTGGTTTCGAACTCCTGACCTTGAGCGATCCGCCCACCTCGGCCTCCCAGAGTGCTAGGATTACAGGTGTGAGCCACCATACCCTGTCATGGTTGATCTTAATCTATGGAAAATCTGGGTCAATACATTGAGGATGCTTTGTATTTTCCTCAATACATTGAGGAAAATGTAAATCTTCCAGAGAAGATTTATATTTACTTCTTCCAGGCACCAGAAGTCATGATCAACCAGAAATCTTTTTAGCCCCTTTTAGGATTCTTAGCTAAATCTGGGGGTCTCAGGCTCAGATCTCCTGTCGTGCTCCTAGCTCAAGGCTCCATCCCTAGGTTGCCTTTCTCCCTCCAAGCTCATAGCTTACTGTTTCTTTTTTTTAATTTAAAAATATTAAGGGGGAACTAATGTTTTTGGCTATATGAATTGCTTTTGTAATGCTTGAATCATGCTATAAGTGTGCCCATAACCCAAATACTGTTCATTGTACCTGTTAGGTAAGTTTTAGGGATGAACAGAAGCTTTTTTAAAAAAAAGGTAGACAGATGAGATCAGGCACATTCAGGGTGGTATATGTATACCCTGGAGTTCTATTCAGCCACAAAAAACAATGGTGATATAGCACCTCTCTTATTATCCTGGATAGAGCTGGAACCCATTCTATGAAGTGAAGTATCACAAGAATGGAAAAACAAGCACCACATGTACTCACCATCAAATTGGTTTTAACTGATCACATTTAAGTGCACATATTATAATAACCTTCACTGGGTGTGTTAGGCACATGCTAGGGCGGAGAAGGGGATGGGTATATATACACCTAATGGGTGTGTTGTACACCGTCTGGGGGATGGACCCTCTTGAAGCTCTGACTCGGGTGGAGCAAGGCAAAATACATAACCTAAACATTTGTACCCCCATAATATGCTGAAATAAAAACAAACAAACAAAAAATAAAATAACAACAGAAAACCCCACAATGAGATATCACCTCACCCCTGTTAGAATGGCTTTTATTGAAAAGTCCAAAAACAGTAGATGCTAGTGTGGATGCAGAGAGAAAGGAATGCTTATACTTTGTTGGTGGGACTGCAAATTAGTACAACCTGTATGGAAAACAGTATGGAGATTCCTCAAAGAACTAAAAGTAGATCTATTTAATCCAGCAATCCTGCTACTGTGTATCTACCCAGAGGAAAAGAAGTCATTTTATCAAAAAGACATCTGCACTCCAGTGTCTATTGTAGCACAATTCATAATTGTGAAGATGTGAAATCAACCCAAGTGCCCATCAATTCATGAGTGTATTAACAAAATGTGGTATATGTATACCGTGGGGTATACTCAGACATAAAAAGGATGAATATTAATTCATGTCTTTTGCAACAATTTGGATGGAATTGGAAATCATTATCCTAAGTGAAGTATCTCAAGAATGGAAAAGCAAACACTACATGTACTCGCTATTAAATTGGAACTAACTGATGAGCACACATGTGCACAGAGGGAAGTAGAACTCATTGGAAATCAAGCAGGGGGGAAGGGGAAGGGGGAGGGACAGCTTACTATTGCCCATAGTTCATGGCCTTTTTCTTTCAGCCCCTTAGAAATGTGCCCCATCTCCTGAGAGCCTATGTTTTGTGCAGTATATAATTGTGTTTGAGTAGAAGAGAATATCTTGACGACAGCTCCAGAAGTGGAAGCATCTTTTCACTACCTTGACCCCCTTAATTAATCACAATTTGACACAGTACATGGTTTTTGTTTATTTATTTTATGTCTTCCCCAACTAAAATGCAGGCCCCAGGAGAGCAGGGATTTTGGCTGATTGGTTCATTGCAATATCCCTTGTGCCTAGAATAACATCTTGCATACATATAGTAGATATTCAATTCATATTGTTGACTACAAGAATAAGGACTCCTTTAAGTGGGTTCAAGCCAAGGAGGTTATTTTAAGAATTCGCATGGAGAGATGGGACCTCTCAAGACAATTCAAGGACAGGAGGAGCTGCTGGGCTGGGCTACACAAGGCTGGGACGCAGTGGCTGCTTCTGAATCTAAGGTGGTTCTGGGTTTGGGTCAGGTGTTCAACCTCTGACCCAATCCACTATGGCAGGTCAAGAAGATGGCCAGGTACAATAACACATGGAAGCTGGCCAGCAGGGATGAAGTAGTTTCCTCTAGAAGGGGCCATGGTTGGGGCACATATGAAGACTGTGAAATTCAGAACAATCTCTGAGAGTGAAACTGTGAAGAATCAACATTTGATGGAATAAATAAACATCATGAGAAGGCAGAAACCCACCCTGAGTGACGGCAAAACACCCAAGTCCAATCAAGGGAAGGAGGCAGTAGTTTCAGGAAGACGTGATTATGCTGAATAAAGTTGCAGCCTAATCAATTATATTGAACCACGTTCCAAGTGGTCAATCAGGAAACAAGAAGTGTCTGTGTTTCTTCTTGCCCTTGCCCCAGGGGAGAGAGACCAGTGCACAGGGAGCAAGGTGTTAAGTTGAGCCAGCTAGTCTAATAAAGTAGACAGACTGTAATGAAACAATGACTCTCATGCCTAAACTAACTGGTGCTGAGGGTTATGAAGGAAGAGAATAGGGAACCATGAGAGCTTAGAACAGAGGGTTTAATCTAGGCTGGGGGGGATCAGAAAAGGCTGCTTAGGGGACATGAACTTTGGCAGCTTGGAAACTTGACAGGCAAAAGTTGGGAATGGATAAAGTGTTACTGATGCCCTGGGGTTGTTTGCTGTCCTTCAGACATACGTGTTCAGCACTTTTCTGCCTTGGGGCTTTGCCTTGGCTGTTCCCTCTGCCTGAAAAACCCTTTCTCCGGATAATCTGATAGCTCACTTTGTGCTCAAAGATCTGGTCCCTGGCATTCTAGCTAGCACAGCACCCCCTGACATTCTGCACTCCTTTCTCTGATTGATGCTTTTTCTTAGCATTTACCCACCCTGTGATTTTGTGTTATATAGTGATTCATTTATGATCTGTCTTCCCTTCCCTAAGCTTCATGCAGGCAACAGTTTTGTCTTTTGTTCACTATTATATATCCACCCCAGTGTCCAGTACATAATTTGCCTCAATAAATATATATTCAAATATTAAATTAAAAGAGCAAGGTACATCTAGGAACAGAAGGGAGGCCAGTATGGTCAGACTTTAATAAGCAAGAGGGTGGATGGTAAGAGAAGAGGAGAGATAGGTAGACAGGGGCTAGAGCATCGTAAGACAATATGGACTTTAAGAGTTTAAGCCTCATTCTATGAGCAATGGAAAGCCACCAAAGCTTTTAAATAATGGGAGTATTGGGATGGAATTTCCATTTTAAAAGACCTTTCTGGCTTCTGTGGGAAGACTAGATCATTGGAGGTAAGGGAGTGTGGAGAGATGGAGACACATTTGGAGGCTAGTGTAGTTTCTCAGCCTGGAGATGGTGGTGCCTAGGACTAGGGTGGTGATGGTGGAGGTGAGGAGAAGAGGTGAATGCAAATGATGTTAATGAGACAGAATCAGTGGGAGGTGGGAATAAATTTTGATACAGAGAGTGAGAGACAAGGAGGGGTCAGGGATCAGTCCTAGGTTTCTGACTTATGAAACTGATGGGTGGTGGTCCATTTGCTAAAATGGAACTTTGGAGAAGGAGGCGTATAAGGGCAGGAGAGGGCTGGAGAGAGTTGGAAAAATCAGACCACACCAGGCCCTGAGATATTGGAATTTAAGATTTAGAACATGGGGCAGATCTAGGGGATGGCCATAACTATAGATAAACTTGAGATTTGGTGGATTGATTCACTCAGAAATATTTATTAAACATCTACTATGTTTCAGGCACCATATGGGCCCTGGGCTTGGCCTACAAGAATGCAAAAAAAGTCCTTGCCCTTAACTGGGAGAGTCATATTGAACTTCTGTACATTAAAACAATCTGTAACTCCAGATAGTAAGAAGAAAAACAAAGCAGAGTAAAGGGACAAAGAGCAGAGCGTATCTCAGGCAGGTTGGATGGCGAAGGCCTTTCTGAAGGTAACATTTGAACACAGATGTGTGAGATGAGAAGCAGCCATTCACACACAAATCTGTGGGAAGTGCAATTCCTGGTCAAGGACACAGTGAGTGCAAAAGCCCGAGGTGGGAAAAGCTTGACGTGCTTAAGGAATAGCAGGAAGGCCGGCACAGCAGAAAGTGAGTGGTAGAGGAGCACTTGTAGAAGAAAAGTTAGCAGTAGGCAAGGAACAGGTAAATGAAAAAATGCTCAACATCACTAATCATTGGGGAAATGCAAATTAAACTATAGTATCACCTCGTACCTCTTAGAATGGCTATTATCGATAAGATTAAAGATAAGCGTTGGCAAGATTGTGGAGAAAAGAAACCCTTACAGACTGTTGGTGGGAATGAAAATGAGTACAGCCATTATGGAAAACAGCAAGGTAGTTCCTCAAAATATTAAAAATGGAACTACCCCATGATCCAGCAGTCCCATTGCTGGGTACACATATAGCCAAAGCATGTGAAAACAGGATGTGGAAGAGCTGTCTACACTCCCATGTTCACTGCAGCCTTATCCACAGCGGCCGAGACGTGGAATCAACCTAAGTGTCCACCAGTGGAAGAACGGATAAAGACAATGCGGGATTTGTATACACAGCGGAATGTTATCCAGCCTTTAAAACGAAGGAGCTCCTGTCATTTTTGACAACATGGATGAACCTGGAGGACATTATGCTAAGTGAAATAAGCCAGGCACAGAAAGACAAACACTGCATGATCTCACACATACACGGAATCTAAAAGATTGAAGTCACAGAAGCAGAGTAGAACGGTGGTTACCATGGCCTGGGGCTGTTGGGTAGGAGGATTGGGGAGATGCTGGGAAAAGGATATGACATTTCAGTTAGACAGGAAGAATATGTTCAAGAGATCTGTTGTACAACACGGTGACTATAATTAATAACAATGTATGTTTGAAAGTTGCTGAGACAGATTTTAAGTGTTCTCACTACAAAAATTGGTATGTGAAGTAACACATATGTTAATTATCTTGATGTGACCATTCCACAATGTATATGTATTTCAAAACATAGTGCTGTATACAATAAATATCTATAGTTTTTGTCAATCAAAAAAATAAAAAAAATAATTAAAAAGAAGAAGCAGTGAGCAGGGGAGGTCAGCTCATCCCTTTTCTGCCTGTGTTTGGGACTTGGAAATTATTCTAAATGTAACAAGAAACCATCCTTGGGTTTTAAGCAGGGGAGTGACTTCATCTGACAAATGTTTTCAAAGGTCACCCTTGTGCCATGTGGAGAATGAGCTGTAAGGGGCAAGAGTGGAAGGGACAGACCAGGTAGAAAGTCACTTCCAGGATCTGGGTGAGCTGGGATGGTGACCAGGCCAAAGTGGTGGGGGTGGGCGGAGCCGTGGGGCTGGCTGTGGGACTGTCGGAGGGTAGTAAGGCATTCCCATGCTAGCTGGTGACCAAGATGAGGACAGAGGCTCGTCCCTCCCACCCTGGAGCCCAAAGGGCTTAAGAGAATGAGGCCAGGAGGAGAGTGGGTCTCAGTTATCTCCGGAAGCAGGGGTGGGGGCTAGGAGCGGGGGCGATGCTGGAGCCTGTCGCTAAAGAATGGGAGTGGGGTCCGGGTGGCGTCTGCCCAGCCCAGTGGAAATGTTGGCAAGGGCTGTAGTACACTTGACATCTGGATCAACTTTTAAATGGTCCCCCTCCTCTAGCCACCAAAATTATTTTCAGGGCTAATTGTGAAATGAAATCAGTAAGAATAATGGCCAGAAAAGAAACTCGGTTAAATGTTTCTTTTATTGAACTTCATATATGTTATCATGCCAGTAAAATCAGTAACAAATAAATAAAATGTTATAATATAAAAATTTATAAACTAATGAATCCATAGTTTGTGATTATATTAATGTATATTTTGAAAAAAGGTAGAAAACGTATGCCTACTTTTGGCCTGTCACAATAACAAATAATACATTACAATTTCTGTTTCCTCGAGTCCTTCTTTCATTTTAAAATAAGCAGCAATTAAAAAAGAGGAATTAATTTTAACATTAAAGATAGGATTCAAATCCAGTGAAATGGTACCTGTGCGAGCTAAAATTTGCACTTCCGAACAAAGGACGGCTCACCTCGCAGTTCGCATTCTGTTTTACTGTTCTAAAAATTTATACACAAATAAAAATTCCATGTGGCTCCCTAGAATGACAGAATTGAATTAACTCAAGTTCCGTGTCTTTGCTTTAGCATCACTGTGCTATCATTGTTTATTTAGAAGCTTCTCTTTAAACACAGGAATACGTAGTATCCTGGGAGTTGGAGTCATAAACCGCTCCAGAAGTGAGCTTGAATGATGCTGAAGGTCGGAACACTCTGGAAATGAACACGCAGCTGAGTCCCCCGTGAGCGAGGCCAACTGTGTAACTGAAAGGGCTCTGGATGAACCTCCGTGAAGAATACAATGTTCATTAAGGGACAAGCAATCAAAAAGGACTAATTTGAACATACATTATATGCACATATATATATATTAAAACTCAAGAGTGACTACAACAATTGTTAAGCATTTTACCAGCAAAAGACTTTTGAGGAGAATGGTGTTTTAGACAGTGTTTAGAATCCTCAGTACGTGGTGATAAAAAAAAAGAGACTGGTGGTTACCCCAGGCTGGAGTGGGTGGGGGCAGGGGAGGAGGGTGCGGCCATGTTGGTGAAAGAATACATAATTACAGTAAGATAGGAGGAATACATTTCAAGAGATCTGTTGTACAGCAAGGTGACTACAGTTAATGATGACATATTGTATTCTTGAAAAATGTAGAGAGAGTGGATGTTAATTGCTCTCACCACAAAAATAACTATGCAAAGTGATGCATTTGTTAATTAGCTAGATGTAACCGTTCCGTAATGTATATGTACTTCAGAACATTATGTCATACATGATAAAAACATACAAGGTTACCTGTCCATTAAAAAAAAGAGAGGGACTAACTCTTAGTTGGTTTTATTACCGTGTTGAGAATCTCTGCAGAAAACACATCCCACTTTGCCTGCCCCAGGGCACCCCCATGCCCCGCCGCCCTGCCCTAGGCATTCGCTGTGTGGGCACAGGTCCAGGGCAGGTGTGGTGGGGGTGAGGTTTGGGAGAAGGCAGGCTGTGGGATCCATCTGGATTGGTGGGGGTGGCAAAGGGTGTTTGAGGTGAGAGGTCTCCTCCAAGAGGCCCTACTGGGAGCCTTGGAGGAGGGAGCCTCAGCCATAGGTCCCCCTGACTTTTATTGGAGCCTCCTTTCACTGAGACAGAACAAAACTCAGACCCCAGTAGAGAGGGCAGTGGAAACCATAGGCGTGGGGTATCCTGGTCCCTGGGTGCTAGGGAAGTTGCATCCCTTATATAAATGAGGAGACTGAGGTGCAGAAAGGTGCCCCAATAGCATGAGCCTGGAGTCCATTCAGTCTGGGTTCCTTCTTCCCACTTCCTCCCCTGGATCCTCCATGCTCCTCAAACACCCAGAATGCCTCTGCCTCAGGGCCTTTGCACCTGCTATTCCCGCTGCCCGGAATGCTCTTCCCCTAAACATCTGGACGGCTTGTTCTCTCACCCCCTTCAAGTGTTTTGCTCAAATATCCTTCTTAGGAAGTCTTCTCTGACCATCTTATTCTTCTAAAACTCCCTGCTTAATTCCTTTCCTGCCTTGTTTTTCTGCAGAGCATTTATCATCCGACATACTATAGAGTTAATTGGCTATTTTTTTATTGCCTGTCTTTCTCACTAGCAGGTAAGCTCCCCCAGTGCAGGGATTCTGTCTATCTTGTTGAAGACAGTCTTCCCAGCTCCCAGAACACAGTCCAGCACCTTGGAGGCAACTACTAAACAAATTTTGAATGAATTTAGAGGCCCTGGCACAGAGTCCGGTCCACAGTGGGTGCTACTGTTGTACGGGCCAGCGCTGAATAAGCGACCGCAGCTTCCCTGACTCAGCAGGACGTCAGGCAGCCCTGAGTCCTAACTGCTGTGGTGGCCTGGCCAGAATGCCCCTTCTCTGCTGGCCAGGAGAATCCCTGCCTAAGCTCGAAGGCTCAGCCCACGTCTGCCTCAAAGCCTCTGCCAGTGTCCAGGCAGATTTCTTTCTCCTTCCACCTGCTCCCCCTTCACGCTTCGCCAAACACCTGTCGCTCAGGGATTCACATCTTTGCTTCACCTCTTCCTGGCCATGGACCAGTGGCCTAACTCCTCTGGGCCTCAGTTTCCTCATGAATAAAATGGGCTGATACAACTGATATAATACAACACGTTTCTGAGAGCGGTTCTGAGCATCAGTAGCCTTCTGTGAGATGGACCCGGCTCTGCAGGCTCGAGCCAGTGGGCCAAGCTGGTGGCGGCGGTATGTTCTCGGCAGCAGCGGCTCCATCTCAGATTCCTGGGGGCGGTGGAGGCTGTGCATGCCTGTTGCAAGCGAGCATGCAACAGCATGCCACAGGAGACAGACGTGGCAGTGTTCAGTGAGCATTTGGATCTGTGGGGAGGACCCTGCCATAGGCCGTGTGGGCACGCATGACTGGGCCTGCTAGGACAAGCCACTTCCCTGTGAGACCCGATGCCCATGGGGACATGGGCAGGGCACCCACAACTGCCGACTCCAGAGCCTGTGCCTGCTGCTGCTTCCACGTGCTGCTCGTGCTGCCACCTGTCCTGTGGAACCTGCAGTGAGGACACCATTGCCCCACCATTCACGTCTGCAGGTGAGTCCTGGATGCTGACCTGTCTGCCCCCTTTGGGGTGCCAGGCCTTTGGTGGGAGACAGAAGTTTGAGGAGGTACAGACTCTCTTTGAGCTGGCTGTGAGGGGCTCTCTAAGGGCTATTTTACCATTTGTGGGAAATTGGCCTTGCCAACCTTGAATGTCCCAATTCTGAGAACCTACAGTTCTAGGAATATTTATGTTCTACATCCAGCCAAAGTTTCTTTTGCCAGCCTTTTTTTCCTCTTTGTGTTCAAAAATTGGAAAGCAAATACTCAGGCCTTGTGTACCCAGAGGCAAGTTCCTTCTCCTCTAGTGCTCCTTTGAGCCAGGGAAGGAATTCCTGGTCAGCTGTGGGCATCGATAAATCAAAGGCAGTTTGGGTGGAAGAGAAAAGTGGACTCTGGTGTGTGTTCAGCCAAATAGCAAATGCCCAATGTCCCTCTCAACTGAGCAGCTTCTCTTAATGATCTTGTGCCTGTGAAACCAACAAATACATTTGCCTAGAAATGGCTTTTCATTGATGAATACAATATGATGTATTGAGTGACTTCTCTGGTAGGTGCTAGGCTGGGTACTGAGGACATTGCATGTGCAAGACCAGACATAGAACCCACCACTCTGTGCCTGCTAGCTAAGGGGGCAGGTGGTGGTGGGGGGGCAGGCAGATCTTTGCACCAGTAGAAATTCTAGGACTTGCAAGAAATGGCAGTCAGCTGCTCTCCTAGAGGGGGATAAAGACACCTTCACAGGGCTCTTGGTGTAGGCTCAGGCCATGCTTTTGACTATGCATGGGCCCTGATTATTGTGCTCATTGGCCTGTGTTTCAGTCAGTGGCCAATGAGCACAATAATCAGAAGCCACTTAAGGTATCTCAACCACAAGGGGTTTGTCATAGGGAGCTTGCAGACTCTAAATGTGGGTTGCATGGCCAGGCCTGGTGACTTCTAGAAAGTCATCAGGCAGCTACTCTGCCTTGAGGTCATGTGGTTTTTCTTCTACAAGGGCCATCATAACTGCCCCCAAATTGTGACCTCAAGCCATGAAATCTATGAGCCTTTTCAGCCAGGCTGTGGATATGATCAGGGGTCCAGAAGGACACACCTGCTCAAAAGGGGTGACGAGGAGCAATTAAGGGAGAGAGTATTTAACCAGTGCAAAGTTCAGGGAAACCAACAAGGGATGCTGAAGCACTCTGGGACTGGCAACATGGCAAACCATCTCCTCCTGTAGACTAGGAGGGTGGGGGGAAGGAATGGTGTTACTGAACCTGGCAATGGCTGTAGCAATGGGAGAAGTCATGGCCTCAGTCAGAGGAACTCAGCCACTGGCAAACTGTAGGCTGGAATTTATGCCCCTCCTCCTCTCGCCTTCCACTCTTCCATGTCCTGCTGGTGCCTATGTTGGCCAAATCTGACTAGAAACTAGGAGGCCAGGTAGGCCAGTGGATGACCCCATAGACAGAGGTCAGCCTTCCAGGGCACAGAGCAGGGCAGAGAAGGATGAAAGGTGGAAGTGGAGGGGCAAGTGGGGAATGTCCATGGCCACTTTATGTGGCCTCTCCATCTTACTTTCAAACGCCCTAGAGAGAGCATCTAATCGGATCTGCTCAGACTGAGGCAATAGTAGAAGGAGCTTTTTGGGAAAAAAGTACACCCTCATTTTCAGGATGAGCAAACTAAAGTGGGGAGAGGGGAAATGCATGTCCAGGGTAACACAGAGAACAATGGCAGTGCCACTGTGCTGTAAATGGCCAAAAGCCACAAGCTCAAGTGAGCTGTGTGTTCTCTCGGGGACATTCCTGGCATGGGCTTAGGGATGCGCTTGCTGGGTCTCTCCCTAGGTGTTTCAGGTGCTACTTTTAGGTGTCTCTTTAGAAATCATCAGAGGAGTTAATTTTTTAAATTTTTTTTAAATTTCAGCATATTACGGGGGTACAAATGTTTAGGTTACGTATATTGCCTTTGCCCCACCTGAGTCAGAGCTTCAAGTGTGTCCACCCCCAGACAATGTACAAAGCACCCATTAGGTGTGAATATACCTGTAGGTGTTTTGTGTGTCCATCTTCCATCTGCCTGATACCCGATGAATGTTACTACTATATGTGCACTTAAGTGTAGATCAGTTAACACCAATTGGATGGTGAGTACATGTGGTGCTTGTTTTTCCATTTTTGGGATACTTCACTTAGTAGAATGGGTTCCAGCTCTATCCAGGATAATACAAGAGGTGCTAGATCACCATTGTTTTCTGTGGCTCAGTAGAACTCCATGGTATACATATACCACATTTTATTAATCCACTCATGTATCAATGGGCACCTGGGTTGTCTACACATCTTTGCAATTGTGAATTGTGCTGCTATAAATGTTCTAATGCAGATGTCTTTTTTATAGAATGTCTTTTGTTCTTTTGGGTAGATGCCCAGTAATGGGATTGCTGGATCAAATGGTAGTTCAAAGGTCATAAAACTTAGGTATGAATCCATGAGCGTCTTTCAAAGTCTGTTCCATCTTAGTAGAACACTGTTCCTGACATTCTGTTCAACCCACTGTGGACTGTCTGGTTTTGCATCCGTGACTCCCATGATGCTCCTGTCCACCTGCAATCTGACTCCATTGTTCCTCTTTGCCTGGGCTTATCTGGAGACATTCTGGAAGGTGCAGAGTCTCCACACCACGGTCACTACACCTTCACTAGAGTCGCAGCCTGACCTTCACAGGGCTCTTGGTGTAGGCTCAGGCCATGCTTTTGACTGTGCATGGGCCAAGTGCGCTGGGTCAGCACTGCACCTTGAAGGTCAAAGTTTCCCT